TTTGTAATCGACTAATTTGCGCGAAAAATGTTGAAACAAATCAATTTTGTTTTCGCCCTCTCATACATCTCGCACAAAAATAGAATTTCTGTATTTTCCCATAAATCAACTACAAAAATAAACGAGGAAAATTGTTCTCGGCCTATGGATGGGTGGTGTAAAAAAAACAGGAAACAACGAACAGAAAGGGATGAGCAGAAAATAGGGTAGTCCCAAACGAGTGATACTAACAAGCAGGAATGCGTTCAAATAAACCTGGTATCCGCCTAATGAACAATTCTTTACACTTGCTTCGTTATTTTATAACAGCAAAATCATTTCACGATTCTAGAATAAACTTGCGATATTTACCAGATATTGACATATTGATTACACGTTTAAGAAGCAACACACACTCGCGTACGAAATTCTCATCACTACGGCGAAAATAAAGTTTTGCTTTTTAACGCGAAAAGGTAATCACACGTCAAAGCTTATTCCGATCGAGCGAATAGCAAAATCGTGACAGGGGAGGCGTGAGAGGTCGACCGACCTTACGATTACAGAGACGCGTTTAAAGTGCCGTGGCCTTAAGGTACACTTAAGGTGTTCTCGGCTCACATTTAGCTCGCTAAATGTGGCTGTCGGATTTTCGCACAATCAGCTTAACTTGCCTGATATAAAGATCCGATTAACGTGAATGCAAATGCATCATCATTATTGTTTACTAAATAGCTGAGTGAAGGATTTGCGTCGGAGCAATTTGAGGTGGAGATTCGCGATGATTCGGAAGAGAAAAATCAAACAGAAAGTAATCGATAAGCGCTCGACGGGAAAATGTCGAGCTGCGTCAACTAGAAGGACGCTGGAATCCTGTCGTCAAACCTGTAATAAACGGGGTCGCATCATCGTGTCCTTAATATTCCGATTACAATTGACGGATTTTAAACCGAGAAAAAAATTTTGTTTGAAAGCAAACCAAGTATCAAAGATACGATATACTTGAAAAATTATTGAATTATTAAAATTATCCTTAAAATAATATATTTACGTTAATAACAGTGATTAAATAACTAGACTATTAGACCAACGCAAACTCTTCGTACTGTAATGCTTGTATTTACGCTGTGTAAATCTCACTTGAGAGAAATCCGAGAGCGACCGATACATGGCATAAATACAAGCATTACAGTACGAAGTACTTGCATTGGTCTAATAGTCTAGTTATTTAATTATTATTATTAAAACACTAAGGCTTCATAAAATTCAAAATTTATTGATATTTGTGTTAACTATATTCGCAATTCTGTACGCGTCTCTTCACAGCTACGCTACTTTATAGACATTTTATAGCGGCAAAATCACGTTACCATTTCACAATCAATCTCATACCACATTTTGCGCAGCCTCTTGATAATTGAGACTTAAAGCAAGAAACGAATCATTTGAAGTCGCATCACTCGCGAGCTCGTGCATTCAAACGGAATAACATAGTCGTGATTCCTGACGTGGTAAAGCGCGTCGACGTTTCGGGCTGCCGTCCGCTCATCAACATAAAATGCGGCTGCATACTTTAGCCGAGGTTCGTGCAGCGCTAACGCGAACGGAATTACGCGCGTCTTAACAACGTCTGCAGCCAGTCAATATAATGAATGAGGCATGGTGTTTCTCTTCAGGCGTGAATAAAAATGCCGAATCGCAATCGCCGACGATCGGCTCGACACGTAACGTACGTGTACAATCCGTGCATTCCGCGTAACCGCACTCCCGCGTCTATTTATAGTACACTATGGATTAAAGTATAGAAATAACTGGATGTCGATACGATGCTATTAATTTCCCGGACTCGCGTCCGCGTTCCGGCACGTCCTGCAGAATCCTCGTCGTTGCGCTCCTACGTTCGTGTTCCTTATCTCGTTGATGCATTGACTTGGCCCGTATTAGCATCCGCGACTTGCGTTTTAACCAAGTATGCGCAATAAACATTGAGTGTGCACAGGTATAACGTGCATCAGTGTCCCACTATTAGAGCTGACATTACCGTAAATGTCGTGAATCTTACTTTGTACAAATCTCTCGTGGTTGAAACATTAATAACAGCGGAGATATTAATTAAACGAAAGCTTTGCACACATAAAGAAAATATTAAGAATAAAAATAAATACTTTAGGAATAGGAAAAAATATTAACAGAGAAACAGGAATTTCCTCTATTTCTCTATTAATCTCTATTTAATCTCTATTCCTAATCTTTTCTCCTTTGTGCGCACGGTTTAACGATCCTGAGACAAGTAATAAATGTACGTGTGATTAATCAGTAATAAACAATTGCTCCTAATTAGTTAATTATTATTCGCCACGAGAGCGGAACGCTGCCGATAAATAAAGTGGCCGGTGTACACATGAAGCGATCCGCGACTTTCGTTAGAGATAAATCGCGAAATGGGAATTATGCGTGGAAAACGTGTTGCTCTTATCGGGCCACACGTCTCCAATGGTGTGCCACGACTTAATCGATCGCCCTGGAATGCCGCTACTGTCGCACACCGGAGGAGGCCGATTTATTACCCCGCGGGAGAGCACTGTATGGATTTCAGTTAGGGCGTAGAGGAGGTGAGAGGGAAGGTCTGGCATTCCAGACGCGCGCGCGTCCGCGTCCCTTTCGCCTGCGCCCATCGATGCCGAGGATGCTGGATTCTGGTATGCGACTCGCGTACGAATCGAGTCCTTTCTATGTGGAGCACGTTGCGCCGGCCATTTTTTCGTATAGGCATCTCGGCCTTCTTGGATCGCGTTATGGAAGAAGCTTTGTAACTCGGAACAATCACGCAATTTTAAGTCACGTTGCTTTCATATTTCATATTTAATCTTTTATAGTTAAAATAGTCATTTCTTTCATATTTTATATTTAATAAAATGAACGAATGCTAATGAAAAGGAGTAAATTCGAGTACTAGTTGTGTGCAAAGCTTAAACTACGCAAAAGCGGAGTTTTATCGATCCGGCTACTCGTATAATCCACTTCTTTTAATTTTATGGGTCAACGTATTTTCCTACAAAACACCTGTGAATTAAATAGACAACGGAGCACGCGTGACTTTCTTGCTAATGAGACGTCTTGTGCTGCACGCATGTCGTACGCAATGAGCATTAAGCGTATTGTGCTACCTGAACGTGCGCATTCGCAGGAAAGTCAGCGGTAACTGGAAAATCATGCGCGACTGCCGTAATATTTATGGAGCCGCTCGTCGTTATCGGGTCTCCGAGGAGAGATGGAACGTGGGAAATAAAGAGGTCGGATAAGCGGGCCGGCCGGCTATCTCGCCGCGACGTAGACGACAAACCAATTATGTGGCAGCGCGAAACCCGCATTACTGCACGCGCATACAGGCGCATACAAGACGCGCGTATTATGCGCGGTGGTGCGCCCCGGTCCGATCGGCGAATAGCGGAATGTTAACCAAGCTCGTTTTACACGAAGGCATTTCGCGCGCGAACCGGAAAGCTCGTCGGCGACCGCCACGGACGCTCGGCACGCACACGACCGGCCGTTTGATAAAAACTTTATAATCCTCGCGTGTCGTGATTCACCACAATTAACCGGATTCGACGTGGGTAATCAGCGACCACCGTTAACTAATTACGAAACACCATGGATTAATATTCCGACGTTATTTTACGCGCGCCGTTTCATTTCGATTCCAATTTCTTGCCGGCGCAGAATTAGCTACAAACAGATAACATATTAATGGCGCAGCTATATGCACACGCCCGATAGCAAGCGGATAAAAGAGAAAGCTCAAAACAACCGCGCTTCGAGCTACGGCATGATTTTTCGATATTTATGTTCGAGACCTTTCTCACGTGGATAAAGTCACGTAACGCGCGATTTAATAAGTTCCATTTTCGCGAAAGCCTTTTCGCGCCGTCTGGCACGTCGTAATAACGAGTTAAGCTCCTACGCCGTTGCGCGGATACGTTGCATTAGCATAAGCCCGGTATGCGAGATAGCCGAGTGTAGGCGTACATAGATACGAGAGCGCGCGGGGCATAAAAGGGAGCAATAAGATCGGAAAGAAACGGCGGAGGTGAAAAAAGACCGCAGGACACACCAACCAACCGATCGAAAAGAACGAGACCGAGGAGAGAATGCTGAGTCGGGAACGTTAAAGAAACGAGGGTGCACACGGGTGCACGACATTTACCCGATAAGATATGCGAACCTATTTCTGTGGATCGCACATTGACAATAGGCGCGGATTACGAGAGATAAAGGGATAAGGAAAATAACGCGCACAGAAATCGAGTCCTATCTGATATGTCCTGCTCACCGGTTCGCAGATAATCCTTAAAACGAAACGTCCATTTCTGAGATTTAAAAGTAATTTATAACACTGCCACAGTAAATAAACGGTTAAATGCGTGCTTATTTATTTTTGTAGATCATCGATTAAACTAATTAAATTAGTTTTATATCACATTCACGAAGAGTGAAAATAGTGGCGTTACATATAAATTACATACAATACAGAAAATAGTGGCGTTACATACAATAGTGGCGCGATAAAAACTATTAACATATAATTGTGATTGTAGATAAAATCTTCCGGCATTCGAGTTTATCTCGACTGAAATAGAGTGTTTCGATATCCACTTAGCATTTTCCCGTTGGTAAAAGCGCTGTTTTCACGCTGTTTTCACGGCACCACGGTGAGAGGAAAGGATAGAAAGAGACGCTTGCGATTAATAAGCTCATGTATCATTTTCGCGCATAAAATGTCACATTGGAATTCGATTGCGAACCAGGGTTGCACAGAATTATCGCCTCCCCCTCCCTTTCGTAAGAACTTGCTCTCGTAAAATATTGTCGCTTTCACTTTCACTTTCACAGATTACCTTATCTCTAATTAAACTCTTCGCTTATCTTGGTTCGCGTAAAACGTATCCAATCCTGACTACAGTTAAAACCGCCGGGTCGAATCAACCCTCGGGGGGCGATATAGGTAATTTGAGCATACATACCGAGGCAGGTGATCGAGTGGTCCGCTGGTGGTCGTAGAACGTTTCGCGCCCATGCCGCCCTCAAAACCTCGAGGGCGCAGGGCGGTCCGCTAACCATCAGCACGCCCGGCGACACGTGGCCTTTGTACCTGAGCTGCCGAGTCGCGTCCACCAGAGCCGCATTCCACCAGCATTTGGAATTCGCTTCCAAGAAGCTCTGCAATGTGCATATTAAGTTAATATGTAAAAATTAATTTAATTTATTAATTATATTTTCGCCTGAAGGAAGAAACCAAACAGCAAACGGGATAAAAATTCCGTTTCTTTTTTACTTTTCTAAAATATTAGTGTCTCTTCTGAAAAAGAGATTACTGATTTATTCTCTAATATCTTTTACAAGTTTCTCTACGTTCATGTATGAAATCAATAAGATTTATGACCGAAAGACATTCTCTGTGAGATCATATGACTGTATAATAATTTCGTGTCCTCTTTGTGTTTTGCTCCGCCAACAAAAAAGCCGTTACACGTCGCGCGATAGACGCGAGTCACTCCCCAAAATGTAGCAAGGTCGCTAAGTGTTTATCTCTCCGTGAAGCCGTATGGCGTTTCACCCTCGTCGTAACGCGGGGCGCAATACAGCTCCACCCTTATGGGGCTGCTTCCCAGAACTCCCGCAGATCTCGCGTCGCAGAATGAACCATGATGGGGTCGAGAACCCCGGTCCACGCTCATAAACGAACAGCCCCGCAGGACTTTCCTCTGACTGTCTTCGGTCCCCCTCTGTCCGGCTAAACCATAAAATTAGTGCGGAGTGCCGGAATCGATCGGTGCGAGCCGGTGGTGATTTATCACAGTCCTTGTTCAGACGGTCGGTGCGATCATTCTTCACAATTGTGCAAAGTGCACTGCTTTCGTAAAAGGAGTGCACTTTACACGATTGTCGAGATCGCATCTCGAAAATTTATCCTGCTTTATAATTTAATCAGTGAAATATTTATCCTCAATGTATTTAGAGATATATTAGCAAGAAAACCTAACTATATTTTATCAGCAAAAACTCGACTAAATCGTACAATAGACGCAATCGTTTGCTGGACTGTCGATTAGATTTCTTTGCTCGACGGAACAATGTAGTGTTATGCAAAGATACGCACGGCTGAAATCATCAGACTTTACAATAGCGCTGATTCGAGGCATTTCGCGACCGCGTTTTCGTTCCAAAAGAAGAAACTGAACGGCGAACAGAATAAAAATGCCGATGCACGAAATTTAATTTGAGCCCATGTAAAGAACACAATGCGCGCTGCGTACATAAGACGATTTTGCATCTAACGGCGGGGTAAGAGCGCAGGATCTCCGGACTTTCACCATCTGGAAGTCGCCATATAGCGGACCGTGGCGACGGCGGCGTAGTTACTGCCGAACGACGGAACCTCCGCTGCAAATTACACGTCCGTGATCGATCTGATCCGCCGCGAGAACGGCCAGCCTCGTTTTGTGCCTGTGCAACAGAGCACGGCGCAAACATCCACCCTTGCCAAGGCTGCATTTCGCATCGCGCACGTATATTTTTCGTCACGCGGACCTTTAGTCTCCATTTTGACTGTACACGAAATAATTCCGCAAATCTCTTACGCTTACAATAATATTTTGTACCGCGGTATCGTGAAATTTAATGAGCAACGATTTTCGTCTCAAGGCGATCCGCGTCTGAATCGCTTGTAACGATGTTACTTAACGTCCCGAAACGCGCGCTTTCGATTACAATCGAATTCTTTTATATCGAGACGTTACGATCTCATGCAGCGAACAACTCGTCTTTTGCAACCGCCCCGCGATTACGACACCGACGCTGATTTTCGATGCTCCGGTGCGACGAAGGAGAAATTATGTATAATAAAGATGCAGGCGCGGACGGGGGGAGGGGGGCCGGTTTATTAATTCGTGAGACGCAGACGGTGATTTTCAGCAGGTGAAACTTTTCGGTTACGTCAAGCCGTGCTTCCTCGAGAGTCAGCACGCGGCAGCTCCACGTGGGAGCTGCTCTCGGGTGTCGAATCAGCCGAGCGGACACGATCGATTTCACGAGATCGTACCTTCTACCGGTCTCTTTCTACCGGCGCGAGATCGAAACACCTTCTACAATCGAATTACTCCTGACGCTTCGTTTTTTCCGCCCGGTTGAACACGATAAACGGAGAAAAGCGCCACTTTCGCAATTTTAAGAAAATTCCGTCTGTCTCTTAAACGTTTCTTTCGTAACCGGTCAACCTTTACGAAAACACTCTAAAACGGGAAGCGCTCTAATTGCGGCGAAAATTACACCGATAATTTCTGTTCTACCATTCGTACTATTTAAAAATGTTGAAGCAAAATTTTGTTTTCAGATAAATCTATATAACATTGACAACATTGAAGTAATTGAACAATTAGTTACAATAGCGAAATTTTGTGACGTCCAATGCATTAGCAAATGATTTCGTTGCAGTAGCAAAATTCTTTTTTCCGCGTACACGTATTATTTCTTACCGACGTAAATTTAAGAGATTGGCGAAAAGGCGGATACTTAAAAATATCGAATTGCGTCGCAAAATGCGTCACTCGGGACGAGCAACAAGATATGCTGATAAGGTAGACGCTCTTATTGTCCATGCGAGGAATCTCTAACCGTGAGAGTGCGACAGTTCTGAGTTAACCATAATTAACGCTGAACCAGCTACCATATCTCCTGTATTCAGCCCAGCGGCACGCCAACTAACTGTGCGAAAAAGAGGGCTTTGATACGGGGATCGCTAAATTGGCGTTACGGTATTGCGACGTTCGTCACGTCTCATGAAGTAATATTATCTCTGTCCCCGAGAATAATGCTCTATGAATTCTTATTTAATCTACAGGAAATAGCGAGCGTTTGTAAATGAGTATTATATAAGAGCTATGTGTTTGAAACAGTTATAAAGATGTAAAATTAAGTAATGAAAGTTACCGTAAGTTTTCCGACTCGGCGATGCGACAGTCCTGAACGCATTGAATAAATTCAACGACATCCTGAAAATCCCTACGATTATCTCATGTATATTCCCGACCTCGTGTCCCCCAACTGCCCGAAAGATTATAAGCTACAGATATCGATTCCCCTCGAGGAAAGTAGCAAAACGCGATTGTCGAGGGGAATATTCGGGAAACGATTGCCCATAGATCGCGATGAAGAAAAGATAGCATAAGATGAGATTGGAAACCATATTGGATAGATTTTCGGCCTTCGCATTTATGGTAATGTCGGAAAATGGGAAAGGATTTAGCAATAGAAATAGTTTATTTTTTACTCCGTCTTACATTTCCGAGGCGATTAAAAACAGCGTATATTCTTCTGTGAAAAAGAGGGGAGAGAAATAAATTGTAGAAAGATGCAAAACAGACCTACTGTTAATCGGCGACGCGGTTCTCGGCGCACGTAGCGTACATATTGCGATTTCCGTGCCGACAATGAACTTGTGGCGATACAGCCTATAGGGTGTTGTACGGTCGTTGCCTGCCCGTTAATTATTATGCAATATGCCGCGCGCTCTCGCGCCGCGCGTATAATGCTTATCCTTTTAAAGCCCTAACTTGACGCCGCGCGCAGACGTGAGCGGTTAACGGAGTCGAGCGAAACACACCAGAAACTTATTGCCAGCGCCGTTCGCTCTGCGATATCTTGCGCCACATTGATCTCCGCTTTATCGATTTACTCAAATTCTGACACTGGTAGCGTATTCATTTCTTAATATTTATTTACAACCGAAGATACTTTTCATTTGCACATCGTGGCGCAGCGCTGATGGCTCTGAGAAGCAATTAAGATAAGTGTAATATTTCTTTAGCAAGATGCTACGTTTCGAAGAAAAGCTGTCTAAGACGCTGAGCCCCTGAAGGTCGTTTGGTAATTGCAAAATTGATCTATTTATTAGCCATTACTGGACGACAGCCGTCAAGGCGTTCGCCTGCGTCGTCTCAAATTTTAATCAACAATCCCCCATACGCGGCCTGCAAGCATAAATCACGATAACATAATTTATATGCTAATATCGCAAGTGCAGCGTGCGCTCTCGCACTGAGCAGGAGACGCCAAGGATCTCTCTCTAACTGGGTGTAGTTATATATCCAGCCACCGACGCATAGGCGTCGACCCTTATGCATCAATAGTGAGATACTTTGCAAAAGAAATTGGCAAGAATTTTTTTCCAATTAAACCAAAGGCATAATCTATTAATTAAAGCGTATTGTTAGAAGAAAAAGGCTATTAAAACATTATTTCTTTTTTGTGTCGTAAAAAAATTCATATAAAAATTCACAGCAAGACAAAAATATGTTATTCAAAATCTGTAAAAAATGCGACAAGCTGATATTAAGTAGAATTGATGTACAATCTTTAACAGATACTTATGACATCTAATATTCATTCTGTAAACGAAAGATAAGCCTTGGCGTTCTATACCTGAAACGTTAACCTGAAACTCGCGGGCGAGAATATGAGAAAAAAAAGATAGACTCCCTCTTTTGCAAGCATTTTTTTGCAATTAAATTGGCAAACAAATGGACGATTGCGCGTGAGCCACTTCGAGGCGAATGGACATCCCGCAGATAAACGAGTTCTCGCACGGCAGATAAAAATCGAGCCGACTCTCGATATATGTTGCGCGGCGTTGATTTACGAAGTCGACAACGACGAGACGAAGACGAGGAGGAGGAGAGGAGGAGGAGAACGACGGACGACAACGACGAGGATGACCGATCCTGTTTTCTACACAGAAGAAACGACACACCGACTGGAAAAAACATCGATAAACGAGAGAACTCAAGAAAGAAAGGTAGCTGAACCTTAGCCGAACCCTCGAACGATGCGCACTTGACTTTATTGTTCTGTTCGAAGTGCCGCGCACTAGTTACGTTCTGGGTGCCGTTGCCTGGTCCCTGCCGAGCGGTTATTACGCTCCGGCGATATTTGCGATGGATCGTAACCGAGCGAAGCCCCGCCTAGATCTATTTTTTTCAATTTAAATTAGTTCCTCTGAGACGCTCGCGATAGACACAGCTGTCTGAAATGACTCCAAAATGTTCAAAAGATTTTATCGATTAACGTAAATTATTCTAATACTCGAACAAGTTGAAAACATTTACAGTTTTACATTACTTACGTAACTTAAATACCTTTCATTACGCACTCCATAACCTGCGATAATCGATCGCGGATATTTTTGTAATCAAAAATCGATCCGCGAACATAATGTAAATGAGCGAGTAACAAATGAGTGGTGTACAGACTGCGGTTACAGCGGCAGTCGAATTGCTCGACATAAATTACCGGTACTTTTTGCGGCTCGTCGCGGCGGCGCGCTCGTGGCGGAAATCGCCACGCGGATGGAAAGTGTCCGCCGTATCGTTGACTGCTCGACCATCCCCGAGGCAATGCGCGATCGGTGTATCGTAATAACAGTGATTTAAAAACGTCACAACGAGCGGCGACGGCCGGCGAGAGTCGTCGAGGAAGCGTAAAGTGCCTTCTCTCGAATACAGACTGCGCACCTGAAAGGCCTCGATAAATCTTGTAAACAACATTGGATCAAAAGCCGTATCGAACAATGCCCTATCATTTAGTAACCTGAGATTGCTCTGATAACAGGTCCGCATTGTCGTCCCTCCGTCATTGTCGCTTTTCTATCGCGAGAAGAGACGAAATGAAATTCCATGACTGCTGAAAGTAACTTTTCACCATTTAGAGTGACTATTTCCAGCGTCGATTAACTTCAACTGATGATTAAAACTTGTCGACAGGATTGTTAACAGGAGAAAAAGAAATTCTTTACTTTTTTCCTCTTTGATAACAATATTTCATGCATGTAGGCAATTTTATCGAGAATTTTAAGCAGCCAATTAAAGTTAATCGACGCTGAAAATGCTCACTCTTAATTTGCATAACGCAAAATTCTATTTTGCAACAGATTTTGTTCTGCTCATTGTTGTCTTATTAGCAAAATTGAAAAAGAAACGAACGCAAAATTTCATCTAATACGTCTCTTTGGACAAGATTAACCGATCGAATACAAAGTTCGAGTACAACGTTCTAAACAACGTGTACCGCGATATCGATGCGATCTGCACTGTACACGGCGTTGCTTTTATGACGATCGCTCCGTTGAAAAGCGATCGTATCTTCGTCGATCGATTATTATCCGCAGACATCGATGAAGCGGTCGGTGTATAGCGCGAAATCACGCGGAACTACAGTACCAAGAGAAACATATATAGAACAGTTACTGCAGTAACGTCTAATTGACTTAACAATTATAGAGTGTGTCGATCTAATTCATTCTGCGACCTCGAGATCGTATCTCCTTTCGTACAAACGATTTCCGGCTTTTATATACGGTATTCTACGTTCTTCATACAGTATTTCCTACATGGTTTACTTCAGTCAGAACTTTGTCCTGAAAAACAATATCAAAATTCTCTCAATTTTGTCAATTGAGATAATGTTTAAGCTTTAAATTTATTATGATAGATCGAAAATGTTAACACAAACGCTGCTTTCGCGATACATTTTTGGATACTTCAGGAATGGATCACCGCATAAGAGCCCAAAAAAGTGCTTTTCTTGCACATTCAATGATTCAGCCTTGTTTTGTCATTAATTCCAGAAGTGAGAGAATTCCTCGCGCTCGTTGACTTTTCCGCAAGGGTGCTTCCTTGCCGAGTACGTACTCGTTGAAAAGTGAGAGCACTTCGTTATTGCAAACAGTCACGTTCCAATTTAATTTCTTCACCAACACTTTTCCTACTTCTCAATTATATCCGAAGACATAAGAATTAATATTTCGAAAGTATCCTTCAGATACATTTATAATTTATTGTTACATTTTAATATTAATCTTTTTTATCTTACGATAGATACGTATCTCATAATAATAAGCCTGTATCCATTTATTTTACTTTCACGGCGGTACGTCATGAAGCACTGACGATTCATCGGCAGAAGGATGAATACAATTTTCTAAACCAGTCGTTAAACCGCTGTTGAATATTTAGTGGTTACGCGTTACGCATTGAAGACGTTAAGTTCGAAATGAGTTGGATTACGACGCGCACGGCGCCGCCGTTCCGCCGCCGTTTATTTCATCTGCAGATAGGGATTCTGGACATAAAATGAGAAATTTACTGTCAAAGGGCCGGATGACGTCGGCGCAGCATCAGCCGCGAGAACGAGCTTCCGCTCTTTAACCTGCCGCTTCTCGATTATGCTTACTTTCGCGAAATTGCTCGTAATTCACATTGTCTCATTGCGGCGTAACGGTGCGGGCAATCAACGTTCGCTTTACCGTAGAGGACCCGCACAGTCTGCAAGATGAAAGAACAAAGCGGAAGGCACGAAGAGACGCGGTAGACGATGTTTCGGTGTGGACAGACATCGCGACGCCGCGCGCACTCGCTCCGACATTCATTTCCGCAGAACTTTTCCGACGCCAGCAATCCTCGGAGCAAAAAAGGCGCATAATGCTATTTGCGAAAATACTGTGAGCGCAAACGCGTATTGTTTGTCGACGGAAGACGACGAAGAAACGTAAACTCGTGATTACACGCGACAGAGAGATATCTACGATGTAAACAGAGAGTGGCATGAAACTTACTTGAAACAGATTGTAGCCCTTATCGTACATCCACATTTCATCGGCCGGATGTTCCTTTGAACTTTCCCGTTGGCCGGCGTTTGCGACGTGAGGAGGCGGGCCTCTGGTCAACTGAATCGCCAGGGACCTCTGCAGCAGCAGGAGGCATCGGGAGGGCCCGGGGCCTCCCGGGCCCGTTCCTTCTCCTAAGATCGAGGCCATTGCGAGCACTCGCCGCTAACGTCGATAATACGGCGGTGGCATCACAAAGTCTGCAACAGAAAAAAAAGCAATTTTTCGTCAAATAAACAGTCACGCAATTGGGACTAAATTATTAAACTTCACGGATAGAGATGCGTTATTAGAAATCGGGAGAAGTCGTTATAAATTATATAATAAATATTGTAATAATTAAATAATATATTCCTCCTCATTAATATTATATACACTTCTCCTTAACTCTATCTCGCAGATTTTATGTGCGAATCGAAGAAAGTAAGAAATAAATAATTAAACTAATTGCTCGCCAAAAAGCATTAAGGGTTACACAAGAGACGCTGGCAGTGACTTCTTCCGTAAAATTACGTAAAAAGGTGCCAGGACGATTTTATACGTTACATAACCGAAAACTGTAGATACGCTCGATAACGGAGGACTGCGAATGACCTGCAATTTTACGCAACGGAGACCTCCACCTCTCCTCTGCCGTCTTACATCCAATTATTCTTATCGCCGTACCATGGAGAGAGATTAAGCGGCTGCGAGTTCATCGCACTATTATACGAGTTCACGAAAGTTACAGAACGACGTGAGAGACTTCGCGAAACCTGTACTCGCGTGTGTCAGTGACGCATACAGCTGGTTTTATTGAGCGTGCATTGCAGGAAATTCTGCTCGCAGGATGCACTCGAAAAGTTTTAAGATCAGTGGTTCTCGATTCATAGCGGATTTTTATTGAGTTCCGCTGAAGTCTTTGCCAAATACAAATTATGCATATTATCAGAAAATTAATTCCTTACTTCAGAAAATCGATTTTCTCGACTGAAATTACATTTTATATATTATCAATGTATATCACATATCTCTTTGATGCATTATATATTTATGAAGATTTGTTTTAAAAGTAGAATCAAATTACAATTTTCCAAAAATGTTGTAATATTTCCCAATGTAATTTTCCTAAAAACCCTTGTACTAAGAGATATATAAAAATTGTTAGTAATAGTTGGGAGATCTTGCGAACGTTCGTCTTCATCTCTTAAAAGCTAGAAGGCAACATCACGTATCCGTATATTGTATCAATGCCTTTCATCTCGCACGCCTAATTGATTTAGCCGCCCATGGCCAGACCGAAGGGTGGAGCACCCTTATTCGTGAAAATCCACATAAAACCGTGAGAGAAAGCGTCGAGTAATAAGAAAAAGGGATCGTCATTGCCCTGAGCTGTCGCAGCTCTTCCTTGGAGTCGAGCCAGGGACCCAAGATTGCTTCATCGATTCGGCGATCCATGTAGGTACATGAATTTGATCTGACCTTAATTGCCAAACAGCACCGTGCGGCCAAATATACCGCAAAATAAAAAAAACATATAACAAATGAACTTCGCAGTCTCTTAAATCGAACTTAACTATTTGAAGCATAAAACGGCATACGCCCGTTTTTTCGAAGCTGTGCACAACTTACCAAATTTTCTTTTAAAAAATACACCAAAATTATCTTGCTTTATTAAGATCAGGAAAAAAATTATTATCTCAAAGCTCAGTAAATGAGCTAATAGGTATTATTTCGCGTTTCACCTACTTACTTCGCAACAACGGACGAACGTAAAGCCATTTTGTTGGAGAGTCCCGCACAGTTAATCGAAACAAAAGTTCATTTCCCAACATCGATAGATGCCTGATAACGCGGATAAGATACTTTGTGATGCGTAACGATCGTACGGAACACGCCGGTGTACCGCAATCATTGCATTATTTTTAATCGGAAGATAATTAGATAGTTAGTGGTGTACACTCTCTCGTGTGTACGTGTAATAGGCGACATTGAATAACTCCCGGTGAAATAGCGACCTCTCTCACGCGATCGCGTCGCGCTGATGATATCCCGCGGGCGCATATTGGGAAAAAAGCGATACGCGCGGATGGAGGAGAATAAGATTTAATAGGATCTAATCTCTCCCGTGTTTGTCCGCGTTGTCTGCCGTGCCATCCGCTCTTTGAACGCGCGACTGTCTCGCGCACTTTTATCCGCCGGTATATCTCGGAGTATCTCATTCTCACCGATACAATGGGGTAATTTTCTCAACGCGTACTTGGCAAATAGTTTATCCTATCCGCTTAACCGGAGAGGAAAGACCGGTGCGAAGAAAATCAATTCAAAAACGAGACGGAATTCTAGAGAGAAAGAGACGAGAAAGGATCCACCTCGCGGATGCCTCGCGAGCCATTGAGTCTTTCTTCGCGCTCGCGAAGTTCGATTTCACCTTGTACCAGTTCGCCGAGCGGAAGGTGTTCGACCGTGTCGCATCGCGGAAAAAGGACTTCCTGTCGCATGACTCACCGCCGCGCGCCGACGTCGTCGGATCGCGGACGACTCTCATTAATGTCCCGCCAATTGCGAGCCGTGCTGCGACGCGCCGATGCACGCCGATGCATCCCTGAACCTGAACCCCGGCCGCCGCGAATCGAATCGCGTGGGACCGAAGCGACGCGAGCGACGACATTAATTAGCGCTCTTGCGCGTTAATTTTCCTCGCCGGGCTTTTCCCGGCGCGTCTTTTGCCGTCTCGAAAGTGGAATGTCTCTTCTTTGATTCTCCGCGACGCTGCGAGTCACGAGCGACCCGGATTCCCCCGATCGCCGTCTATTATAATCATAATTATAGTAATCGCGGCCGTCGCTCGGTCTGCTGATCGATAAGAACGGCGAGACGAGGACGTTTCGTCTAGAACTGGGAAGAATGCGATTCGCGACTGTTCTCCTCGATCGATCGATCGCGATAAGATAATTTCCCGTAAGATTAACATGTTTGCAGAAACGTACAAATCATCGTCAGGTGAAAAGATGGGTAACATAACTTAATTACGCTCCTTGTATCTTTATAAGTTAAATTGCACGTTTACTTATCGCAACGACAGTTGCTGCGCGAATTCTCGAAAGAATACATTCCGCTCTCTTTCCATTTTATGTCATCCTTCCAGATCGGAATGCTCGCCTATTTTTAGAGCCTCTTTCCATTAGATATCGCCTTACATTTTTTTCTACAAAACGCCTTATATATATATATATATATATCTATCGAAACAAGTTCCGCTTTATTATCCAGCTCTTATTATCCAGCTCTTTCTTATAAATAGCCGCGTCATTAATTTCCTACTAGACAACTTGTCCGACAATTTGTCGAACCGCAAAATCCCACCGATAAATCTCTCTCGTCTTTCTCCAAAATTTTTTACCTCCCTTCTTTTTTTGTTACGAATACGCGCGCAACTCGAACAGTACGCGCCAAACCGTGGGGGGTTGTTAAGAAAACAAACTTTCATATCCGATGAGCAAATTCATTCTTCGCGTGACACCGCATACGCGCTCGTTGTACGATCCTTTGATGTATCGTCGACCTCGGCGGCGAAGACCGGCCGCGTATACCCCGGAGTGTGGAGTGTCTAGAAAGTACTTCTCGCGCGGACCATTCTCGTAAAACGTGTAACGGGAACGATCAAACAACGTCTCGGCCTAATGGAAGCCCAAATAAAGACAAATCTCTGTCCACGCCGTTGATCCCGCTGATGATGGCCATTGAGATCTTAAGCAAGACGAGCAGGTTATCAATGACTACATCGACTCGCTGGAAGTCTCGGAGTATAAATTGATAAATTCTCATATCGACGACGAGAACGTAAATAGAAAGTCCCCGATCAGGCATCATCTTCGTCGTAAAGACTGATCATTAACGTCTTCCTTTTTATAACGATTTTTAATCAGTGAGATTCTTCCTAATTAGATTTTTGGTGTGCCGCCAAAAAAACTCACATTTGTCGGAGAATATTTGTTGCGGAACGAACGGGAACGGAAGCGAGCTATCGTCGATACGAAAGACTGGCTCACAAATATCTAATGAAAGGTTCAATTCATCGAGCCATCGACCCACCTTTCAATGATTCTGGAAGAAAAAAGTTGCGTGACTCTCGCTTCGCGCGGCCGACATAGCTCAGCGTAATAGGATATGTCAAGAAACTCAAGACGCGAAATTACCACACACGCCAGGTTTCCATTTAAGAATCGCATAATTGTGTCCTCCGGATTCTGGGTTTAATGAGCATTACGTAGGGAGTTCTATCAGGAAAGTTGTTGCATTAGCATTATATGCGCTGGATTATTGCGTACCGAGCGGTCATTGAAACACATGTCTGTTTTGTAATTCGATCGTGAGATCGACATAGGCGTATAAAGAAAAATAATTAACAACATTCATAAAAGTAGCAACATTGCGATACGCCGGCAACAATTAACGATAGAAAATAACATTGACAATTCATTTATAATAATTGCATCGTCGAAGTCCATTAGACGCGCGCGTTGGTGATTTCACGTTCGTAGAAACATAACTGCAAGGAAAAGTGGCTAGCTCCCTCGTGACATATATTATGCGATGCCTGCTGAGGAGGTCAAGCGTTGAGAGAATATTCAAAGATACGCATCCCGGAGACCCGGTTCTCACGCCTCCACCTCCGGGACGTCGCAGCGGCGTGGAAAACGCGAAGGATGCACGCTGTGCGTCATGAAAGATCGCGGGGAAACACCCGGAATACATTACCGCGGCTTTGCGTTTTACAAGCCGAGCTAGAGCCTCGCGTGTGCTTGCACGATATTGACTCGGAATGGGAAGGGGAAGGAGGAACGATCACCGAGGGCGTTACGTAGCGAGGGCGCTACCACGGATATCCGCGGGGTGCATCGCTCGTAATGACAAACAACGGTAAAGCGCGGACACACGTCGGGCGACGCACCGAGCGGACGGCACGGACTTAAAGGATGTCAATTGTGAGCGGATAATGCGTCGTACGTGAACATTATTGAAATAACGACCGGGAGAAAGGCTTCTCTTCACGCGTGTGGTGTGCCGAGACCAGCCAGTCATCCGGCGCTCCGATCGAGTCCGAGAGAATATCGACATCGATCTATTGAAGTCAAACGATGTCTCGCGAATATTGTCCGTCCAGGGAAGCACGCGCTTCGAAACAAGGAGCACGTGGGAGAACAATTTCGTTTGATATTCGAGTCGCGGAAATTATCAGTATTATTCTACGATTGCCGACACGTGCGTTACTAAAGACTTTCTAGGAACGTGCTGTCTTTTGATGTTCTCTCCAATCTTTCGGAAGCATGTGAAAAGACAAATAGGTTTCTGCAAAAGCTATTCAGCTGGTTTGTTTATAATTAATTAATATTTTATGCATTTGGATTTTTATTATTATTATTATTAACGCAGAAACAAATTTTTTTCCGAAAGGTACGACAAATCGAGTAATACTGTTAGCACTTCGTTAAATCAACTTCAAATTCGGTTTTATGGCCAACAATATATTTTATTACTCTTGAACCGGAAAAGCGACAGTTCTAGAGCATCCTGCTTCGAGAAATGGCGGTGCACTCTGGAACGTTTCCAGTTCTAAATGTATGTTTATCCGCCGTAATAAAGGCGCTTTCGAGCGGTGCTACCGGTTAATAAATAACGTTCGAGCTACTAGCAATTCCGAGCAACGACACTTTTTCACGCGCGCGATTCTCTACGCGAGGTGGAAAATATCGCTGTGTAAAATCAAGTTTCATAACGTGTTAACGAGCTACGAAACGTAAAGCGAGAAAAATGTAATGCGAGCGAGAGGAGACAAGGATACGGTTGCACGACCAAAGGATGTCAGCCGCACTCGAGTGTGACTACCGGTTCGCGCGACGAAGGTGGTTCAACCTGGCAGGATAAATTACCGGACGTAAGGACGGCCGGAGTCCTTGGCGGGGATGGCGTAATTTTCCGCGGTGAAAGAATTCCGGTGAATAATAGCCGCGCCGGCGGAATCGTGATAGTAATCCGTTAATGGGATTCGCGGCAGAATGCGACGCGAATGCATCGCCGTGAAAACACTGCGATACTGAAAATAAAAGTTATGGCTCTCTTGTATATTGTACGTATTATTCCACTTAAGATAAATATAAAGGAAAACCCTTTTCTCGTTTCTTTTATGTTGCATAAATTTTAAAATATGATTCAGATATGAATATTCAAATATAATGATAAAAAGTATGTATAGGATTAACATTTTTCTCACTGATATATTTCACCTACAACAGGAGATACTTTTACTGCAATCTTCCTCATTTTTGATCATAAGAATCGCGTGTACACACATTCCATTTTATGCGCGAGCACGCACTATTTGCGCGCGTGCAAAGCAGCAATACCTATAATTCATGTCGTAATGTAATTCAAGATAGCAGTTAACACTCCGTTGTAATAGATAAGACGTTTAATTCGTTGAATAGCCAGTCCCGTACTTGCGAAACATCAATTCGAGACTTTCACGCGAACGGTAATCTCCGAGCGATACGAGTTTCGCACTTTCCTGCCGTTTTAATACGTATCGATCACGCCATTGCACATATATTACATCAAGCGCAAAATTGGGCGCGTCGATGCGTTGCTAAAAAAATACATATATATGTTAAATAAACATAGAGATGCGCCATGAAAGTTTTATTTTAAACGTAGGTAAAAGGCGGCAACGTGCCGCAAAAGTAAGAGTAGATATTTGTTTAATAACGGATCAGTAATTAATTTAATCGTTTCATAATTCGTCTCGTGTGTATCGCAATAAGCGGCTTAATTAATTTAAACATAAGAGAAAGCGAGAGTCGGAATGAAACTGTAATTTCGCCTAATAATTCGTCCGAAGGTGGTTGTGTCACGAAAACGTTACTTTCCATCGAATCTCCCGAAGAAGCATTCTTGATAGGCCCGAGTTGATACCTCAAGGCGTAAAACAATTATTTTGCGAAACTACCGGAAGTCCGAAACGGTAAAAAACAACTGCGAGAACAGTCGAATCGTACCGACCATTAGTCGCCATTACAGTAAGAGATATTTTGCGACGAAGAAAGTACGAATGTATTTTTGCGAGAATGACTTTTATGGAGACAAATCGACATGACCTTTCAAGAAATCGAAGATCATCGAAGAACGCATATGTGTATTATTAACAGCAAAAGCGCATCGCGCATCGTACGTGCGACCGTGATTATGCTTTATCGTCTTGGAACTTTTCTTCTTACTTATAAAGGAAAGTAATGATGACCCTACGATGTATGGCTAATTATTGACATGAATCATTATCGATCACTAGTGTCCCGTACACATACATTGCCACGGAATTCTCAGAACATATAACGCATTGCGTTATAAAGTGTCAGTTTCGGAGGTCCATCGAAAAGTAAATTATTAAAATAGTTAATTAGAAGACAAATTGGTGAAAAAATTGATGAAAATCAATCAAGAGAAAAGGAGAGAAAAATTAGAAAAAATAAAATTGCTGAAATAAAATAGATAACTTGATTATAAGTTTACGTCGTTACAAAAAGAAAATCGACGACGAAATCTCCCTTGTGAGGAAATTCTCTATTATGTTGTACTCGGTATGTCGTACTCGAACTGACAGAGGTCAGTAATGCGTAATAAATATAATAAACTGCCCTATTTCGTTAACATATGCGTGATCAGTGCGGTATGACGATGGAAACAGAAGTCACTCGTTTTCACTTTCCATCGACCTCGAGGTTGTGCGAGCATATGTCCACTCACGCTGACACCACTCACCGACACGGGGAAACGTGCATCAATGCACGATACACACGCAGCCATTATTCTCATTATTTGCCGTCAGACCGATCGAACAGCGACAGATCGAGTCGAAAGTCCATTTTTCCGCGGTCGCTCGAGGAGAGGAAAGTACGGTCGTAGGAGGAAAACAATTTAACTGCGGTCGCACATGTGTAAATGCGTGTACGTTGATTGTATAAAAGATAGCAAACAGCCAACGGAAGTGCCGGAAGTTCTTAGCGACAAGCAAATAAATATCATCGTTACTCTCGATGATACGCAAATAAGGAGATTTATTTAAACGGAAAATTGCCGCTCCGATTTATAGTTGATTATATTTGAAAATTATTATTTTTTTATCTACTTTTATCTCGGTCTATTTATTTTTTATCACAAAAATATTGTTCGGTGAGAAATATGAATTATTTTAAAATAGATTCTTCGGAAGTGCAACGTTAATCATTAATTGCATCAAAGGTAAATTGAACGAGTTCTGGAATCGCTCTATTTTCTAGCGCGGAGAGCGCGCGCGATACCAACCGCATCCCTTCGTGGTCGTTTTTGGAAAGGAAAGCGTTAGTAGTAAGAGGAAACCGATCCGTCGTTCAGCGGGTGTTGCAAAACGAGCAGCGTGTGTCTTTGTTATACGCGCCGGTCCGGCGCGATCATTAATATCTCGCTGCTGCCAGGCTCGAGATACCGTGCGGCGACTAGACCAATTACCGTTATAGCGCAAACACTGTTTGCTGCCGTTAGAAAATGATTTATCGCGGATTGTTTCCAGCACAGGATTTACTGGAGTAACATATTGAAAACTCCCGCGGAACACCCTCGCTTCGGACTTATTCGATTTCCGCCAAGAACACGGGTGTTTGAATAAAACGCGACCCGATGGACTGTGCATGCGCTGTGCGGCATTGCAGTGCCACATATGATTTATCAAAACATTTATTCTTTCTGTTTACAGATTCCCTCGAGCGGATCCGTGACGATAATTGCGCTGGTGATAACGCCGATTGGTGAGTGATATATCTTATATAATAAATATTTTATTTCTTTAATCCTCGAGGAATGCACAGGCGCTCTCAATTTATTGGTTCGTTTATGAATTAAATCAAGGAGCTTAATTGAGTAAATAAATCTGCGGCACTCGAGTGGGTACCGTTGCTTTTACGAGGTATTAATCTTGGAAATGTACCCGATGTTCACAGTGCGGCATTTATCTCCTGCCGTAAATGCGGTATTTGTTAATCAACCGTGCATGTTTACTGGTTTAATCCTCCCGCAAAACTTTCAACAGATTACTTCATTAAATCGCTGCGTACTTCGCTGTGCGAATATCATTTAAACAATCAAACGGCATTTTTGCGAATTTTGCAAGCGCTCTATAAATGCGCTTGCGTTTAAACATGCTCAAAGAGCACTTTGCGCTATTTAATGCAATACATTAATTAATTCCGACGTATAATTGTGTGCTTTATTAGCCTATTTTGCATCGATCGAACTAGAATGCTCGATCTTACAAGCGCGATAAGTTTCGCGAGATGTTAAATGCTTAATGCTAAATTTCACAACGACAAACTCGCGTGCGGAAAATTAAACGCTATTTGTTCAATCAAGCGCCGATCGATCAAGCTGTAAATTTCGCGCTATGTCGTCGCGGCATCGTTCATCGTGATAAACAAGCGTGATTAATCGCACGCGTATTGTATCCCAGGTCACCGCGTCGCCTGGAAAAAAGTTCCATTCCATTAATTTTCCACGTTCCGTTAGGTCTTCACTCTCTAAGCGCGCGACGCGGTTAGCAGGAGCCCGCAAATAAACGCGGAACACGCGAGTTTCTCGGTTAAAATCACTCTTCCTTTTCTTCTCTCTCTTGCGAGGAACAGCACGGCCCCGCGCTTCCCTTGACGCGCGTAAGAACCGTCATCGAGAGCCTCGTTGTTGAGCTAACCGACAAGTCATCCTCGTGTCAATTTTACCGTACTATTGGCTAAATATCGTTATGATCGTGACATTGTCTCTGTAATTTGATACCACAATCTGTCGTGATGTAACGCTACGCCGGTTACACGGCCGTTAGTCTACCGTAACATAATCGTGGACACGCAGAAGCGACGCTCGTTCTTTACATCGCAGAAATTACTCATAATATGGATTCAGCTTGCGTCGAACTATGCAATGGAGATTGAAAATTGCCAATTGGAGATTGGAATTCGACCTATTACAAAGTGGACTAGGAAATTGAGATTACTTGATCGATCGAATTCTAATTTCTAATTCGCGATCTCGATCTCTAATGTATAGTTTGATACTGGTTTTCGCCGATGGGATTATTTTGCACCGCAATGCGTTTCTCAAGCATCTTATATAAAATTTCAATAATAATATTAACATACAACTTTCAATATACATGTATGTAATATAATAACGTTCGAAGCTTCTAAATGAAGAATTTCTAGCAAAAGTACTTATCTAATTTAATTTATAATTTATTAAGAGTGGACAAAAAAATGTGCTCATTGTTTTTAAGGCAATTTTCTCTAATAATATTTTATAAGTGATACAATTCTTAGTCAAAATATTTTCCAGCATAATCTACCATTTTTGCCTTTTAGGTAAAATATAGATATCGCGATGAAAAAATTTCTGTTTTTGGAGAGAATAATTTTGTACGCTTTTAATATCACACCGTGTAAATATACAGATAAAAAGATTTATTTTCTTCGTTATATGAAAACCGATACTTTACTTCGATGCTCTTTTAATTCTAAGTAAATCCAAAATCCCGGCTCTTCTCTGTAAATATTCCTCGCACCGTGGCTTCGTTCAAGATTTGCCAATAACTCTAGGGACGTATACGGTTTTCATAAATCTCTTGAAACGCCTTGTTCAAAGACACAAGAAAAGAACCCTGGGGTGAACAAGGCGGAAAGCGAGAGCAGAAAGAAAGGGACCCTCTTTAAGGGACCCTCTTTAAGGGCGACTGCTCATCACCGTACTTATTCCGATTAGCACCCCTGGTCGTCCAACGTAAATCCCTGAAACTTCCACGAATCGAGTCAGCTAATCTAACTTGTTACAGTTCGTATTCACGAAGGATAAAAGGTTGTCAATATATTGTGGAATATTTTGCGTGTACAAAATTACATAAAAAATTATCAAATTGAAACATATTTCAATTCATTAATTACTTAATTAAAGTGCAAGATTGAATGTTAGGCATAGCATAGATTGTCAAGAGGCGGCAACGCGATTAACCATCTCGCATATAGCGAGAATAATTAGAGAACGATTACTTCTTCGTAAATTGAACGATTAATTAGTCGGCGATAATGCACCTTACATGATTCGGCGGCGGTAAGTCGAATAGTCGTGTTGCTTTAGTAGGATTGCTTAATTAATGTGCGCTCGTAATTATTGCGTGATATCGAGGTAGGAAGGACGAGGGAGGAGACGATCGTAAAGCGTGCCGCGTGAAGAACGGTCATAAAATCCGCGGCAAAAATCCGTGCACATAGATGATGCACTTACTGGTTAGAAAAATGCAGATGTTCCCGGAAGTAGTGAGGGCTCAGGAAAGACGATGCAGCCGGCTTGAAAGACGGGAATTCCGAAGAAGGGATACGCGCGCATGAATATTACACCGCTCTAGGCTTCGGGTGTGGTCGATCATAGGATAATATGTCGTGAGAAGCTGTGTGAGACGACGAGCTAACAGTGAAGACGTTTTCCTTTGACACGCGGATTAATGTGAAAAATAATCACACGCGGTTTCGCACCTTGTCGATCGTAATCGTGAATGGTGGCTGTTGATCAGGAAAATCTTTATGAAAAAATTGCATAGATTAATTGACGGATTACATAGAAACGTAATTATAATGGAAATTATAATTATATACAATTATAATTTATAATTTATATATATTTGCTGTCTATTTTACTTTGTTTCATATATTAAAATTAACGAGGATATATAATTAAATCTACAGATAACTTTGATAAATATTAAATAATAAAAAATAGAAATTAAATTATAAATAATTTTGCGATTAACATACGCGTTATTGAATTAGAGAGTTGCGGGGCACCGAAGCCTTCATATGCTCCCAGGGATCGATATATCGATGAAAATATTTCACCGGACGATAAGTACGACGACGTTTAACCCTCTTGCTGCCGAAGACAGCTGTAGGCGCTAGGAAGACGCCGTACCTACATAACTTAAAAGCGACTATGACCGCCCGAGTGGAACTGACGTTTCCTCGAGGCGTTCGCCCGAGCCGACAGTTAAAGTTTCCACTCCCGCGATCCACACACGTGCGATAGTGTACGCACTTCACCGGAAGTTACGTTTCACACTGAAAAAGAATTCCGCTTGTGTCTAATTCAGTAATTTTTTTATTCCGTCCTAAATTAAAGACAGCCTTTTTCATTGCTCTTTAGAGAAATAAAATTTTAATCTCACCTAACTATTAAATAGTTTAACAACTTCTACAGTTTACGTAGAAACATGAATGCGAGAGTTGATCAAAAAGTCTTTTTATCTTTCTTATGTTAGATAAAAATTAAAATAGATGTTTTAAAATAAAATGTTTAAATTAAAACAGACGCTTAAAATTAAAATAGATGCTAAATTAAAATAGATGCTTTAAATTAAAATAGATGCTTAAATAGTTTTAAAATAGATGCTTAAATAATTTTAGTTTGCTTCAAAAGACGAAAGGACTTTTCGGCCAACCAACACCTGCCAATTGTGCAAGCTGCCAATTCAAACATAATATCGCGATCATTTTTAGTGGTCGCGTCGCGATGATTCCAAACAATAGCATTCGTAGAATCCGCGGTTACCGCCGACAATCTCTCCGCGTTCATCTACGACCATCGGGCAGAGACTCCGCCGACCGAGCAACGCCAATCCGAAAGGGAATTCCGGAGGAAGATGTACGAACGTATGCGCGTGCGATTCCACGACGGATTTTCGCTGGAGGGTCCGGGTGTGGCCGATCGTAGGATAATGCTCGCGAGGATGCGAGAGAGGAGAGGTACGAGAGAGGGAAGGAGAGCTCGGTTCCTTCTACTCGCGAGATCGATGCCCAAAGGCGAGACGCGTCCTCCTCTTCCTCGTCCTCCCATCTAACTATCCGTGTACGTACACGATACACGTATACGTGCGCGCAGAAGGCGGCAGCTATCTTCAAAGAGGAACTTCTCTTTCCTAGGATTTTTCCTCGGCTTCAACCGAGGCGATTTCCCCTCTTTCTCTTTCACTCTTCTATCCCGCGCACTCTGGATCCGCCTCTGCCGTGTACAGAGTGTTCGAATAGTCGTCGATGCGTACGAGCGATTGCGCAAGCGGTGGCAGGATAATGGTCCATTCAAAGCCGCATCTTTTTCATTTCGCGGCAACGGGTATTATTAATTAAATTAATGAAATACTGTAACAATCAGACAGACAAGCGATAGATAGCTCTTAATAAAAGTTTTTTCCTAACACCGTAACTGTACACTTTTCCCTTTTTGCTCGTATTTCGTGAATCAAAGGCTCAATTAGATCGTCTAATAGAAAAGAAATATCTCTCCGGTGAAGCTATTTCCGGTACGAACGTAAAGTGCTCGATAGTCTGATGAGAGTACGGCGTACCGTACTACGCAACTCTCGGGTTACAAAGACACGGCATTGACAAAAAGTCAAACCGCGTCGTAGAAAAATCGTCGTAGCGCCGCGCTGGAAGCGGCGCTTGCGGCGCGACGAGAAAAAGCCGAGCGGAGTAGCTCGTTACCGTTTCTTTGAACGGACGTGTTAAACGGCGGCTGTACATAATTGAATGGTCGGCTCTATTCAGGATCAAGCATCGGATCCATCAACAAGGAGAGTGAGAGAGAGAGGGAGAGTGAGATCGCGCGCTTTTTGCCACCGTTCTGGTGGTTTGTTCGTAAACTGAAAAGAAGATTTTTCCTCGTCTCGACTCGCGGCGTCAAGCTAATATCTCGAGAGAAGAAGAACGGCCAATTCTTG